ATATTACTTATAAAAAGCATGACACAGGTTTTTGCTAACATTTCTAATGTTTAGTCTCTCCATTATTGTTACTGTTAAACATAATCAAGGACACTGTAAAATACATCAAATTGTGTTCTATGTAGGTAGTCATCCATAGTGTCACATTTTTCTTATGACAGTGATATTACTCTTAAATGTATTACAGTTATCTCATCACACTGGCACTGGAGGGAAATTCAACTTTAGTTGGCTGTAAGATATTTTTCTTCTGAGTAGATCAAGCTATTTAAAAATATTATCTCAGTGCTTTTAGTTTATAGAGAGAACATTGGCAAAGTGATATATTTTTTATATAGCTGGCAAGAAAATGGTGGCACGGATAGGGTAGGTCAACTGCATAATGTCAGTTAAGAAATCATGTTTATTTGAGTGAAGTCAAGTTCCCTAGGTCACAGTCAAGTATTCAAGGGACTGGTTAGTGTCTAAGACTTACTGAAGAAGGAAAAGTCAAATGTTTAGTTAGAAAGAATAAAGTTATTGATTGATTTTGGACTGATGTGCTCAAATCTTTACATTTGTAAGTCAAAGTATGTATATATATTGCTAGATTGTTTATGGCAGCCTGTTAAACTGTTTGGATGTGTTGACCTGTATGAAGTACTATTGAAGTAAGTTGAAATCAAGGCTTTGGGGTAGTTTTGATAATAATTCATTTCTGGTTGGAGTAATACTTTTTTATATTAGAAGAACAAGAGAGAAAGCAGTAGAATATTTTTTAGAAAGATCTTAAGTTGTTTTTAAAGAGAAAATATAATTATACTAAAAAAATATCAAGGACAAGGTCAGCGGGTGGTATGGTGGTTAGACAGCTGGATTCCATATGCCTGACTGCATGGTTTGAGTCTTATACCTGATAACTTGAAAAACATGCCTGTGGGGTGTGTGTGTGTGTTTACTTACAAATATGAAGACTTAATCACTTGGGAACCAGCAGTTAGTATAATGGCTATGTCGCTGGACTCCCACGTAGTCGATGGTGGTTCACGTCCCGGACCCCGGTGGCTTAAAACTCAGGCCAGGTGCGTGTGCGTGCGTGCCCAAGATCCCGAGAGGAGAATGGAAGAGAAGGAATTGCGGCGTGACCATCCCTCTTGGGGGGTGATTTCTCGCTTTCTGTCTCTATGTCTCTGTCTGGCGAGCGCACGCGCCCTATAGCAAAAAAAAA